CAGGGACACTGATGCATTGTTGATGGAATAATATATTGTCTGCATTCTGAAAAGTTCTTTGGAACTATGCCGTAAAAGTTACTAACCTCTCCATACTTATAGACCCAACAATACCACAACTAGGTCTGTACCCCAAGATTTTTTAAAAAGAGGGAAAGGACCCATACATACATAACTATAGTAACTCTTTTTCATGGTGGAAAAGATCTGGAAACAGGGAGGATACCCACCTATCTGAAGGAATGGCTTATGGAATATGAATGTAATGGAATACTACTGTGATATAAAAGAAAGGATGAAAGGGACAATTTCAGAAAAACCTGGGAAGACTTGTACAAACTGATGCAGAGAGAAATAGGCAGAACCAGGTGAACAATTTATACAGTAACAACACTGTAAAGACAAAAAACTAAAATATATAAATAAGCATTCAGATCCATGTAATGACTAGCAGTGATAAAGCATACTACCTACCTCTTGATAGAGAGGAGATAGACTTAGGGTACAGAATGAGATTTTTTTTGGACATAATGAGGGCATTTGTTTGCTTGACTGTGCATTTCAGTCTCAGAGGTTTTTTGGGTTTTTTTCCTCCTGATTGGAGGGAAAAAAAAACAATTACGTCAAATTTTTTAAAAAACTGACAATTATAATAAAATTGGGAAGAGATTAGGGCTTGAAGAAAAAGATGAGTTCTGTTTTGAAAATGTTGAGTTTGAGGTATTAAAAGGCAGTTGGTGATGTATGACTAGCACCTGAGGGAGAATAGGACTGGATATATACATCTAGGAATTATCTCGGTAGAGATAACAATGCATGAGAGCTGCTGAATTTACCAAGTAAAACAGTATGGAAGGAAAGAAAAGGGCCCAGGACAGAGAGCCATGGAGGCCATAGTTACTAATTGTGATGTGAAGAACCAGCAAAGGAGATTGAGAATGAGAATTTGAACAGCTACAAAAAGCAAAAAAAAGAGCAGTGTTCCAAAAACCCAGAGAGAAGGTAATCCAGTGTCAAATGCTACACAGGGCAAGAAGGATAAAGATTGAGGAAAGGTTATTAATTGGCAATAAGAAATAATTACTAAGCTTGGGAAACAGTTTCAATTGATGGAATCAGAAGCCAGACTGCAAGGGTCTTATTATAAGTGATTGAAAGGAGAAGCGTAGAGGCATATGTAGCTTCCTCAAGAAGTTTAGCCATTAACAATTCAATAAACGTTTATTAAGTGCCTACACTGTGATAAGTGCTGGGAAGGAGAAATGACTATTTATAGACACAAGGAGATGGCAGGATCAAGGAAGTTTGTTAAGGATTGGGGGAGGGGAGAAATATGGGCATATTTGTAGGCAAGGGGGAAAAAAATAAATCAGAGATTGAAGATTAAAGTAGGTCCTAATAATTCCAATGATAAAGGGATAGGGCAATCAAGAGGTGAGGTTTATCAGGGTGTGGCAATTGGATAAGGGGGCAAAAGACTCTAGTAAAAAGGACAGTGTAAGATTACTTAGGGGATAGGAGAGAAAATAGTGTAACCACTACAGGGTCAGTGGCTTGAAAAAAACTGAGGGGTAGAGGTGCTAGAAGTCAGAGTGAGGATGAAGAGTTAGAAGGCATAACGTATAGAATGAATAAAAGTTATGATCAAAACATGTCAACATGGAAGTAAAAAACTGCTGAGGAACAGAGGATATGACCATCTGTGTAGCAGAGATGGACTAAGTCATAGGAATTAAGCAGATTAAGGAAGTGGGAGGTCAGAGTATTTGAAACACCAACTTGTCTGTTTCATTCCACCTAGTAGGAGAGCAGAAGTTGGGATCAGAAAGTGAGTGTGTAAGTAAGGCAGGCATTGAATCCATTAAGGAAAGAATTTTCTAGTGGTAGTTTAACAGCCACCAGGGTCTCAATTGGTTAGCAATTGGAGAGTATTTAGCATAGTGCCTGGCACGTAGCACAAATGCTTGACAGATAACAAAATTTAATGCATTGCGAAAAATCTCACTCCTGGTATAGGACAGCATAGGGCTAAAATCCGGTCTTCAGTTAATTAACTCTGGGGGTGTTTAACTTGGAGAAGAAAATAGGAGACATAATAACTCTTAAGTATTTGAAGAGTAAACCACGTAGAAGAGGAATCAACGTTTTGTTCTGCTTGGCTAAGAAGGGAGAACTAGGAGTAACACAAGTTGTTTTTAAAAAAAAAAAGGGCAAATTTATTCTTGAGGTAAGGGAAAACTTGCAAACAACAGTATCCATAAATGAAATGGGATGTCTCAGAAGGTAGTCGGTTTCATCCTCACTGGAACCATTTGTCAAGTATGTTGTGTAGAGGATTCTGTTCAGGTAGAGGTTGGCCTAGGTGGCCTTGGAGTTCCTTCCCAACTCAGATTTTGTATTCTGTGGAAAGAAATCAGGGGAAAGAATCAAAGAAAGGCCCACATAGAGAAACTGACTCAGTTACAAGAGCCACCAGTCCAAGCAAAGAAGAAAAAGTATGGTAGGGGTTTAACAGCTGAAGTTAATCTTTAAAGAGTTTGTTGAACTTTAGCCTAGGCCCTCAACCATCTTCAGGCTGTATTTAACTCTGTCCCCAGCTTGGGTCCCTTATCAATGGTGCCCCGACACCACACCCATTTTGTTGTTTCCCATACCAATACCCTATCCTAAATCACCCCCTTCTAGAGACCTTCCTTGGCCACACAACTCAAAGTCGCAAAAACCATACAGACTTGGGCTACTACTGGAAATTCAGGTTTTCTTTCATTTCAACCCTTTCTGGCTAATTAGCAGCATTTGTATTGCTCTTCTGTTGATTTCCCAAAACTCCATACCACAGCACCCAGGAAAACTTCCTTACTCTCTATCCTGCAGTCAATTACACCATTTCTGGTATGACTGTATTCCAGGAATATCCAGCAGAACTTTAATACAGTATAATCAGTGAAAAAGATTTGCCTCTCAAGACATGTTGCCATTCTTCTTCTCTAATGCTAACCATTCTTAACTTGTGTTCTGTCCATCCACTTCCTTCCTCTTTCTGTGAATTCCACCATGGTTTGTTGTTCCTCAGGATTTTTTTTGTGTGTATATTCTCCTTTGGAGAATTCATTGCCTTCCACAGCTTTTTCACAATGTCTCTATGCAACTAAGTTCTCCATTTGCTGTTTCACTTAAAATCTTTCTTGGACGACACATAGATCTTTACCTCCAAACCCCAGTTTCTTTTAAGCACATCTCCCAATTTATATTTGAATGTCTTACCATCACTCTAAACTCAGCATGCTTTTAACCTTTCACCTCCTCTTCAATCCTTCCTCCACACAGTTGGCTAAATTTAATGTTCCTAAAACATGTATCAAACCTACTCAAAAACCTTTTTGTGGTTTCTTATATTATCTCTAAGATAAATTAGAGACTCTAGCCTAGCCTGGCATTTTAAACCCTCTGACTCCTATCTGCCTTTTATTTATTAAGCATGTTGTTTCCTCCAGTCAAAAGTAAGCTTCTTGAGGTCAGGAACCATCTTTTTATCCCTTAAGTGACATTAAAGCTGAAAACTAAACTCACACTTTCTCCATTTAAAGAAAAGCTTTGCTGCCAAAAAAAGTATCATTATATTCCCAGTCATACAACCTTAAGACAAACAAAAAACTTAAAATCATTTTTGCCCCCATCTTAGTAATCACCAGGACCTATATTAATTATTGCTTCATAAGTATTACTGAAGAAATTTCTCATACATATGTCTTTCTTCCTACTTCCACAGCCGGCATCCTGGGTCAGTTTCTCAGTGCCTCAGAAATAGACTATTGAACTAGTCTTCCCTGCTGCATGAATCGATCCTGTGAACAACCAGAGTAATATATTCTTTAAGACACTCCGTGTCTTTCTCTTGCTCAAAAATCTTCAATGAAACATCACTCCTTAAGGATAAAATCACAGCTCTTTAGCCTGACACTCAACTTAAGCACAATCTTTACTTCATCACATTAAACCCCAAAAGTGTCCACTCTATATCTTTTATCCGTAACAATATATATTTCCACCTTTATATACCACCAATACATATACCATTATTATGCCATATACCATTATTTTGGGTTTTTTTTTTACCATGTAGCAAATTATCTTTTTTTTTTTGGCACCACTTAGGAGTATGAGTTCCCATTGTTACCACTAGGTGGCAATGATTTACCTCCTCCCATTGCAAAAGCATTGACAGTGTGACCACTAATTAGCATTCTTTCATGCACTTTTGACTACTAGCTCTTTAAAGCTGATGATGTAGCCACTAAGATTAATCACTGGCCACCATGATTTCTTATTGGCACTTTAGCTTTTGAGAAAGTTAGAGATATCTACTACCGTTAAAATCCAGCCTTGTATGTGTATTGGAAAGTATGCTAAGCAGCAAGTTGGGTAGCCTAGGGGTTTTCTAACGGTGACCCTAGGGAAGTTACTTAGGAGTCTCCAGGCCCCCTTTTCCTCATATTGAAAAGGAGTTTAATGGGATGATCGCTGAGGTCTGATCCAGATGTAAGTTTTTAAATAATTAGAACAAAGAACCTAAAATTCTAAGCTTAATTATGTTCTACATTTACTTAGCATTTATTTGTTATTTGAAGCACACGGTGCAACACACACACACTCTCCCTCTCCCTCTCTCTGTCTCTGTCTCTCTCCCCCAAGTTCAGACTCTGGCTCTGTCACATAACCAGCTAAGTAATCTGAGATAAAGTCTCTGAGAACCTTCCTTTCAACAAGTAAATGTGTCCCTTATTTATTACATAGTTATTAGAAGTCAAATGAAAGTTATGTGAATACTTTGTAAACTCTAAAGCAAAAACTATAAAGAAATCAGAGAACAGGATCCGATGTGCATATTTTCCCACAAAATTTGCATCATTATTTTGTTATTTCACTATTTATACCATCTTATCACAATGATCCACATAACAAATTTAAAATTAAAATAGAAGTTATTTTTGTTCTTACAGCTCATTTGAAGAATATGAAGCAGATGAACCTGTTCCTCCCTCTGAACTTGGAAACAAAGGGGACAAAATAGTCATCTCAAGCCTTTCGGAGAAATGTGGAAAGCTTCACTCAGTAGATGAAGAGTAGCTGCCAATCTCAGTGAAGCCAGCACACATGTATCTTAAAGTTTATTTCCTCATGGAAAGGATATTTTGTATACTGCCACTTAAAATCTTTCATGTCTGTAAATGTACAATTGCACTGGATTAACTTTAAATGGTTTTGTGCAATAGGTCTGAATGCACATTCTAACTTGGGGCTTTCCAATTTTCTTCACAGCTATCAATTTTCCTTAATGCTATATATAAAATCCATGGAAAAATGAATAGAATTTTTACATCACCACTAAAAAGATGTAAATCAGTTGCTTACCCTTTAATATATTAGGGCTGTTCTACACAAAAATATTAGGCAAACATCTCATAGCTTCACTGTGTCCCTCCAAACATAAAAACACATGTATGGTTCATTCACACACACAAAAACATTATCAAGTCATGAAACTAAGGCATGAAAATTAAGCCTGGGTGAAGTGACTCAAATCTACTTGTCCCCTGGGTGTAAATGTGTTTAAATATTTCAAAGGGATTTTTTTTTAGTTATGAACATGGACTACACAGTACAAAGATCAACTTTGCCATTTTAGTTTTACAATTAATAAGCCAAAAGGCTAAAGTTATTTCATCCTCAAGTGTTATGAACTAACAGTTATAACTCTTCTTTCAAGCTAGGTAAATTTCTTTCCTCCAGGGTCATCTGACTGAATTAAAAGGAAGAAGTAAAAATCATGATAGCACCTATAATTTCCAAAAAGGAAAAATTAAGATGTGAACAAGCTGGGGCAGCTAGATGGCACACTGGATAGACCTGTGGCTTTGGAGTCAGGAGGACCCGAGTTCAAATCAAGCCTGACACCTGACACTTAACTGGGCAAGTCACTTAATCTCGATCACCTCACCAAAGAGCCAGAAACAGAAAAGATATATAGGGGCAGCTAGGCGGCACAGTGGATAGAGCACCGGCCCTGAAGTCAGGAAGACCTGAGTTCAAATCCGACCTAAGACCAAACACTTGACACTAGCTGTGTGACCCTGGGCAAGTCACTTAACCCCAATTGCCTTAAAAAAAGATACATACATATATATATGAACACACACACACACACATATATATATATATATGAACACAAACACACACACACACACATATATATATACATGAACAAGTACAGGAGCCTGACTCCTTAATAGAGAATAATCTCAATTTATACACCTATAAATAATTATGTCTGGAGAGAAAAATGGAAATTGTTGAATTACGACCTAACAAATTTCCGTTACCCAAAATCCCTTTTATCCATTTTTTCTTCCGTGGAAAGAAAAAAGCCAACTTGAAGACACTGGGATATTTGACTTTTTTTTGGCGAGGGGGAGGGCAATCGGAGTTAAGTGACTTGCCCAGGGTCACACAGCTAGTAAGTGTCAAGTGTCTGAGGCCAGATTTGAACTCCTTTTTTTTAACTTTAACATGACTTTTTTAAACCACAACCCACTTATTTAAATTTCTGGATTGGATTTTCATAGGAAAATGAAAAAAATTTAAAGTATTTTCATACAGAAAAGTAAACCTGTGTTTGTCCCCTGTGAAGGCAGGAGGTTATTTGATAATGTGTTTCCCAAAAAATGCTCCATGAAACCACAATGCCACCAAATTCTACAACATCTAGTAACATTTTCTCTTACCTTGAAAGTAAAGAATGGGTAGTAAATAATGATGAAAACTTGGAATACACTTTAATAGAAAGCCACAGATAACTTTTTTTAAAGATACCTTCTGCCAAAAGCATCTTTTGTCCTAGACTTTTTGCCAAAACTGCTATTGGTAACCATATGTAGCTCATTTTACCTTCTCACTGCCCCCTCTTTTTGGTGAGGGGTAAAATGAACAATGAAAGAAAGCATGGGCAACAGTGAGAAAGTAAGAAGACCCAGGGAAATTCAGAAAATGTATCAATCATTCATTCAGTCTTTGAATAGCCAACAATTCCTTATACTTACTTCAAAAGTGAGGATTCCAATTTCTTTAGTTGCTTTATTTACCCTTCATTACTAGAAAGTGAACTTCCATTTAAGTTCAAAAGGGAAATCACATTAACAAAAATTTTACTTCTCCCAGATGAGACTCAAAATGACAAATCTATGGAAAACACAAACCTGTGGCAAACCAAAAACCCTAGGATTAAGGCTTCTTTTCCTGATACAGTTAATTGCATTTACCTATAATTCTCCATTTTTTCCAGCAGAAGAAAAATCAACTGTTTTTGATCTTGCATGTGGTATGATAAAGGATAATGCTGATTTTTCTAGTAATAAAATGAATGTAGTATAATAGATGATCTGACATTCATAATGGCCTATACTGTTTCACTTAGACTCAGGAAAGAACAAAATTAAAACACAGTTCTGTATTTTAAAATAATACAAGCTAAACTTGTTTCTTGCCTTCATTTGGCCTATTTTGTTTGATTTTGCTTCTCTACTAAATTCCCTGTGCTTTTAATATATAATTTATAGGTAATTTTGTATTTTATTCCATAAGTAAAAAACACAAGTGCCAATGCCATTAAAAACAATAAAAAAAAGAAAAAACATTTTTTAAATTAAATTTTTAAGGTACCTACAGTTATAAGGCTCTCAGGCATATTTTTAAAATAAATGTACTCAATATCTGAGAGCTTATTTAACATAAAAAAGGAATCTGTAGAACTGGGTAGTTTTGCTTAATTGTGCTACAGAAATCATGCCAACAATATTCCAGAACTAGCAACACCATATCATAATTCCCAGTACATCTTAATGGATGATGCTTTCAGTGTTATTTATTATGGTCTTAATACTATGCAACACAAAATAAAATTCAATAGCATAGCACTAATTGCTGTGAGACAGACAAATAATTAAATACGATTTATGGCTTTTTCCATGCATCTTATCCCATTTCTTTGTATAATATTTGAGTAGTGTTTACAGTGGCTAAAGGTATAATCAATTAAATTGAGTGATTTGTGCAGACTTGGAAAATCTGTTGGGAGGGGGGAATGGAAGGGGCGCATGGTTTTATCTTTGATTCACTTTATATTTTTCCCTTTTTTGAAAACCAAATAAAGGTATATGCAAAGATGAATCTGTTTATTACTAAAGTACCTCACAGAAAATCTGAATTGAAACCAGTAACTTTAGAGATCAACTAAGTCTAACTTATACATGGCCTATCTTCTACAAAATCTCTGACAAAAGGGTCTATTCAAACATCTAATGGGGACTCAAATCACTACCCTACCTATTAGGCCTGTTCCTCTTTGGGATGGCTCTTATGTTAGAACATTTTTTCTGACATTTAGACAAAAATGCAGCTTCTAACTTTCATCCATTGGTAATAACTCTGCCCCACTTTAGATCCAAATAAAACAAATCATCTTCTACATGTCAGCCAAGTGCTCTATCTGTATTCATTGGCACGACCAGCTTTCATGTCATTTGCAAACATGGTAAGCATACCATCCAAGTTGCTAATGAAAAGGCTGACTAAAAAAGGGCTGGTGACCACATCTTATGATACTCCATGAAAGTTCCTTCAGCCTAACAATTTCTTCCTTAATCACAGGTCTTCTGGATTTTAAATCCACCTAATTTCCATTTGGCTAACAATCTCTCCATCTTGCCCACAAGGATATCATTGGATACTTTAGCAATACCTTGCTGAAATTCAGTTACAGTTTATATTTAGTTGATTTAGTCTAACTAAACTACTAAAAAGAAGGAATGGAAGAAAAAGAGAAAAGTCAAAATGGCATGACTTGTTTCTGATAAATTCATACTGGTACTTACTGATCACTATTCTTTTCCCTATGTGCTCACAAACCAATATTTTAATAATGCATTTTAGAATTCTGCCAGTAACCAAACTCGGAAACTTTTAAACAATCCAGTGGTCTACCCTTTTATAAAACAAAATTATTTCTTTTTTCACCAGTACTGCATTCACACCCAACAATTTTACAAAATGCAGCAATCCTAATCGCAAAGTATTATTTATTTCATTTAACAAGTGTCTTACCTGTTAATTCTGTGATATTAGGCTTAAAACATGTAAATAAGTTTTAACCCTTCCCCTCCATTTCCATTTTACAACTCTTTTGGTCACATATATCTCCATTCAAATACATTCTTCCTGACTCTTAATAACATGTACTCTATTCTGGGTCAAGTGTTCATTCCTGTATCTAAAATCTTGCCCCAGAAATGTAAATAAATGCTATTTGCCCTGCAGACCATTTTAAATTTAGCAATAAAGTCTACATCCATATTTGAAAAAGAAAGTTTAATTTAGAATATGGTACCTTAGATATCAAATTCTCTTAAATCTATTTCAGAAGTTTTGTGAATTTAGTTTTTTTAAAAGTACAAAGTGCTATACATTCAGTAATGTAACATTTTAAAACTATCAATTTCTAAATCTAAACCACTGTATTTTGGTATCTCTTCATGTGCAAAAACACAGAATATGCTTCTACCTATTTTCATAAAATCTTTTTTTAAGGAAACTTCCTTTTAAGGAAACTTCCTTTTAAGGAAACTTTTTTACTACACAAAATTTCTTACCTCTTTTAAATTTATTACTCCTACTAGCAAATCTACATAGGAATTTAAACTTAGGCTATCCAGCAAGATAAATTTTTAAGCTACAAAAGTTCTACCTCCAAGCATAAAAATAAAGGTTTGAGTTAATATTCCTCACAGGGTATCAAAAAGAGAGTAAGATGTAACACTGTAAATAACTGTGGCAGATAAAAGCAACTTAATTCTTCTGATGGTTTCAGATCTTCTGAGACAACTCGGACCTCTTCAGCAGTTTATCTTCCTTTTAAGCCACTAGTCATCACTCTTAAATATTTACAGGATGTAGAAAAGCAACAAAATATAACCATAAAAAAAGGAACAAGATGTAATCAAATTGTTATTCCTAAAATTATATATTAGAAAACATTGAGTGCATACCATCCCAAAGCCCTCAACATTCTACAACATAGAATTAGAAAACTAACATTTATTGATAGACTTAGGGCATAATACATATTTCAAAAAACGTGGCAGTGAGAATACCAGCATAAAAAAGGGAAATCTGTGTTAAAAACAACCTGAAATCATCATTTTCAACATTACACAACAATCAGAGGTCTCACATACTCATGGTTTCCACATTTTCTAAATTGCCACCATCCCATGCAGCAATAAACAGGAAACTAAGGTAATCACATTAAATTTGGGAAACAATCAGGTAACTCTGAATTTAGAGTCATAACATCAGCTGCATTAAGAATACCTAGGGGCCTTGCAAAAATATCCCAATTAGTCCATTTCTAGCATTTTCTTTGCAATAATCATTTCTGGAATAAATAACTAATTTACATTTTAAGTTATAATCATAAACTCATGGAAGTAGTTTCTACGATATGGCAATTTTTGGTCAACACAAAATTATTACAAATCCTGACCAAATACATTTTTTCATATGACATTGCTAACACATGACTTAAATAAAATCTTGAGAAACTAGGGGTAGCAAATAAAGACAAGACCACTAAGAAGCATTTTCCACCATTTACTCTTGTTATCAAAAATAGTTCGACTCTTCTTGCAAAACAAAAACAAAATAGTACATACTGGACACATACATCACATTTTTCTTCCTATGGCTTTAGCCCCCCACCCCCACCCCACCGAAAAAAGACGAAAAAAAAAACCCAACAACAAACAACAACAACAACAAAAACAACTCTACCTGACCACATTCACAGAAAATGACACCAGGGTACACTACAAAACAGAAGGAGGTGTCATCTGCTCTGTGTCCAAAGGTTTTCCCTCGTTTCTTGGACTAGGTGAGTAACCATCATTGTACATGCTGTGTGCCAAATCAAAACATATCTTCAATGTTATGTCAGATCTCACTTGAGATGGTGGACGTTGAAATTGGAAAGTTTCTAGCAGTATTTTTCTTAACACATGCTGTCAAAACAGCGACTCTCCTTTTAAATCAGTAGGGCATTTCTTTACAATCTAGTCAGTCCTAGTTTTTGTTTGTGCTGTGCTCTTTGAAAAGCAACTGACTAGATTTCCCTTCAACAGAATGTTTGACTCATCTGTCTCCCCAGTAGAAAAGGGAAGAGGTGGATTTAAACTGAAACATTTTTTGTGCTTTACATGCAAAAGAGCATTCTAAAGAAGATTCCCCTATTTTCAAACCTACCTAAAAAATACACAGGCTTCGTACAAAGGTGTTTTAAGTTTCTATAAAGAAGCCTTCATAACCAAATAGCACCTTTTTAACCAAGAGCCATATTCAAAATTATGTATGTTGCAAGAAACTTGTTACAAAAACCAAAAATGAAGAAGTGGCCTATGGCAGTAATATAATGCATAATAAATCTGGACAAGTTGTAGGGCATTATTCCAAAATTATTTTAAACAAATCCCAATTTCTAAAGGAACTACCTATTGGTTCATATATTTATTTTGTCACCTAGTATAGTCTAAATTCAAATGCCTTCAGAATAAAATGGCTCTTCTCCACTTCCTTATGTAGCCAATTAGAACACTGCTCAAAGTGAAGGAAGAACTTTATAGATTTTTTAAAACCAGAAATTAATCAGACTTAACTAATACAGGGGGCTCAACTTAGAAGAGCTTATAGAATTAACAGCTTAACGTTTGAAGTCTAGCTGACAATTTCAGTTCTTTCACTTAGATTTCTTAAGCATTTCTAATGAGGGGCAAATTTTCTCTTTCATAATACTGATTTATGAACTGCTACTTATACCACGTAGCCAATTTTCATGATCAGAAATGGTATGTCAGCACAAAGGTTGGGCTGGATACATCGGCTTTTCAACAGGAGAAATCCCTGGCTTTCTGGAAGCAACACAACCTCCCTCCCTCTCCCCCCCCACCAAAAAAAACCAAGCTAATGGCTACTTTTCCACATAAAATTAGCACAATCTTGATGGACTGACTAGATACCACTTCCTTACATTTAATCAGAAACTTTGATTACGCACAAAGCATGACCAGAAACAATGAGGTTAATGTTATTTTCCTTGCCAAAGATCATTTTGTATAAATCAGTTGCATCAGCATTTGTTCTCAAACTATGAGGTTCTGTAAGAACTAAGGACATATAGTTGTAGGGTTACTCCTCCATTATCTGCAAACTATTTCCCCGACACTAACACATATAACTTAGCAATGAAACACTTGATACAAGTGATCTATATGCAGGAGCTCCGGCAAGTTAAACCAACAGAACCATAGCTGCCTTAAAACTGTAGCTATTGCCCTAACAGAGTAGGGTGAAAAGACAGACTGACTTAACAGTCATATCTCATGTCTATAGCTTCATCCAAACTTTTATCATCATGTGTACTGGCAGCTAAAAACGTAGTTACTGGTGACCCTGTTACATTAATTACACTGGTGCTTGTGCTGGCATTGCGCACTGCAATGCTGGTCACATTAATGCCCAAAGTAAGCCTGGTCTGCTCCAAGGCCTTTTCTGGCACTGCAAATGCCTCCAGCTTCTTCTCACCATTGGCCATATATGAGTTTTGGCAGCCACGACATATACAGTCTAAGCAGGCTTTGCGGTTAGAGTAGCAAGGGCAGCGTTGGCCTCGGCAGGTAAGAACACTTGGATTTTGAGTAGCACGCCCACACTTACACCCTTTCTTCTCTTGTGGCTTTTTGTACACAGTCTTGGTAGGACTTCCTGGCATAACATTATTGCTAGGAATCTTTTCCTTTGTTGCTTTATCTTTTGTTTTCAGAAGACCTGGTTTGGCTTTAGGGTGAGATTTTTTGGGTCCATGTTCCAAATTCTTTTTCATGCTTTTATTAGATAAAAGTACAGTTTTGCTGATTTTGGGAGTAGTGCCTCCATTAGGAACAGTGGCTATAGGCTGAATAGAGATTTTGCTTTCTCGTTTCACTGTTACAGGAGCTGATGCCCCCAGTGTTGGGCCCCGGATGATGCTAGAAATAGGAAGTGGCTGAACTTTCTCACTATCACTTTCTGACCTTGATCGTTTTCTATTCAACTTAGCGACCTTAGGTGTTGCTGCTGTACATGATATCCCATGAGGTGACGGATTGGTGGACATGAAAACATGGCTTAGAGGTTGGGAAGAGAGCTGCATAAAAGGTCCATTAGATACACCAGCTTCCAAGTTAGGCTGCAAATTAGAACAAACCACCTCTGTGTTTGAAACAGTTTCTAAGCTCCGGAGTACTTCCTCCACACTAAGCAATAAAGAGTCACCAGGTTTTATATCTTCACTGAAACTGCAGATATTGATGCCTGGACACAAGTCAGTAGAAACTGAGTCACAGACAGGTGGCAAGCTATTAGATATATCTTCAGTTTTTATGTCAACTCCAGTGTTACATACATCAATTGTATTTGAATGTTCAGGTGAAGGAATATTTATACCAAACTTATCTATTGAAAGCCCATTACAAGTGGGCAATCCATTGATAACAGAACTGCTGATATCAATATTGAGTGTGCTTTCAGGTACTGGGGATAAACTAGCTTGAGGGTCATTAGTAGGTTCTGATGTTGAAGGTAAAGGGGAATGTGTCAAACACAAAGCAAAGGATGAATCTGAGGGTTTTTCCATCTCCTCACAAAGCAAAGATCCATCTTTGAGCAATGCCAAAACATCAGCAGAACAATCAACTGCTTCAATTATATCCCGTGCCAATGTAGTTTGTGTTATATATTCACATAGTTTTTTGTAGCAGTTTACTAAGATGCTTAATTGTTTATTCTCCTCAAACTGTTCGTAGTCCTTGCACCAGCTACATGACGGCTTCATCATCATTTTCTTGCCTTTACAAGTTTTGCAAACATAGTGTTGACATGTCGAGTTGGTGGGAGCAATAGGATCTTGCAGCAAATTTCCTAAAAGAAAAAATGGAAGGAGGAAGACTTTAGTATAACAAAATCTAAATTTGCACGGGCTAGACATGAGCTGGAATTAAGGTGAGTTTCCATTTATCTTATTACTTAAAAACCAGGTTACAGTTAGAAAAAGAAACTTCCTAGGACACCAGAACAATACTCAACAATTGGGAAATGTCTTATATCAAAAGAAAATAAAGGAAAAAACTCACTATCTATACTACTGCCAACTTCCCCATGCCTTCATTTGAAAACCAGCATCTTTCTTGCTTATGTGACTAAAATCTTTCTATCTGTACTATGACCCATCTTTTTGCTTCTTCTATATCAAAGGACTATTGAGGTAAAAGGTGAAAGACATTTTACAAGTTGGAAGTAGATGAAATGGTTGAATAAATGTAACTTTAAGGGCTCTACTGTGAATTCTCTCTACAAAGAAAAGGTGCAAAATTAAATTCTCTCTGTCCCTAGCATCACTGGTAGCAGCAGCATGAAGGGGGATGACATCAAGACAGCACACATTTAAGTGTTTTCTGAAATGAATGAAGAGGCAACTTAAGATTATCCTAAACTCTTTCACATTAGAGACTTAATCCACAAAAGGGGGTCAGGACAAACTTTGCTTAAGTATGTAATGAGGATTTTTGTTGTTTTTCCAACAGAAAGAACTCTTAATATTCTGAGAATTGTCATTACCGTTGAAATATGTAGAAAACCTAACAAGGAGACTACTCTTTAAAGACAACATTCATTTGGATGTATAAATCCTGGTGTCTTTGCTTTAAAAAATTATTTTCTGGGGCAGCTAGGTGGCACAGTGCATAGAGCACCGGCCCTGGATTCAGGAGGACCTGAGTTCAAATGTGGCCTCAGACACATAACACTTACTAGCTGTGTGACCCTGGGCAAGTCACTTAACCCCATTGCCTAAAACAACAAAAACCAAAAAAAAAATTTCTTCACCTTTTCAGGGTAAAAATTTAAGAAGGCATGGAGTGTCTACCTCCTCCAGCATTTTCATACTATGGTTCTATAATATGATTTGACATGGTATGAATGACGAGAATGAACTATAGACTGATACTGACATGAAGAGAATTAACAATGTATTCAAACATAAAACCATATTCTATTAATACAATCAAGAAATGCATATAATATACAAACCAAAGCTATAAACACAAATTTATGGATTTTTTTTTATTATTTACCATTCTGGATGAGTTGTGCTTCAAAGGAGGAAGAGAAAAGCTAAGAACAAAAGAGGGAAAGATGGTCTACTTTAAAAGACAGAAGTTAATTAATTTTATGCCAATGTCTGTCCATCTTAGAATGAAAAACCAAGGACTACAGTCTCAATTTTATTCACCTAAATGATGACAAAAAACTAAAGAGTTAAAAGTAGTACTATTAAAGGGAACTGAGGTCTAATTTTTCAAAGGCTGTAGGCAAGAACCAACTATAATTATGACTGATATATAAAGTATAATAACTTGCCAAACTTGCAAGTTACAAGATGTAATGACCCATACATATACCCTAATTATAGGAACCTGTCTTGAGATACCTGCCTTTTAATTCCCACTTGGAACAGTTAGTCCTTGGGTACAGAAGAGGCAAAAAGATGGGTCACAGTACAGTTAGAAAGAATTTAGTCACCTAAGAAAGACCCTGGTTTTCAAATAAAGGTAGGGGGAAGTTGGCAGCAGTATATCATAGTGGACATTTCTCCTCCAACTGGATGGCACATCATGGGGTCAGGACAAAAGAGATCCAGTGCATGTATGCCCCAGGCTAACACGTATTCTCACTGTATCTTTTGTTCTGTTTCCTTCCCATCAACAAATTACAACCAGGTAATTTTAACTGACTAGTGCAGTAACTCCTTTAGGTTGAATATAATGAATAAGTCAGGCAAGTGATCAAGGGCCTAGGAGTAAGTCATACTTGTTTAACAAGAATCCAGTATCCCAAAAGTGGTTTCTGCAGCATACAAAAGTTACAAAAAGTCAGAAATGGCTCTAAAATAATTACACATAACAGTTATGTAAATAATATTTAATAGAGCTAAAAAAAAAAAGATCTTGCTAGGTGGCACAGTAAATAGAGCACCAACCCTGGATTCAGGAGGACCTGAATCCAAATCCAGCCTCAGACACATAACACTTACTAGCTGTGTGATCCTGGGCAAGTCACTTAACTCCATTACCTAGCCAAATAAATAAATAATAATAAAAAAAGATGATCTTGGAAAGAGCAGAATATAGCAAATTTTCATATATATGTATATATTACACACACACACACACACATTATGTATGCACGATATATATGTATTGCAAGGATATATATGTGTGTGTATACATGTTTCAATCTCCACCACTGTACATTTAATGCCAATTTTCTGCTTAGAAACCTTCCCTATCTCCCCACTGTCTTAACAAATAACCCTACCTAATGCCAGCCTGAGTCTGGTATTCAAGGCTGTCAACCTGATTTCAATATACCTTTATAGCTTTAACTCATATTTTCTCCTTCATATATTCTAGGCTCCAGCTAAACATGCTTTCCTGACTGTCCCTGTGCTCAAACCACTCCCTACACCTTAAATGGTCATCCTCTACCATCTCTCCTCCCTCTCATTCCTAATTATGTATGTTGCTATCTCCCTTATCTTTCACAGATCAATGGCCCCCTCTTCCATGCAGTGTTCTCTGATAAATTACTGAAGTGTCCATTCTCATTAATGACTCCTAAATTTAGCCATCTAATTCTGCCCTTAAAAATTTAATCCTGTTCCTCAAACTACTGATAAACACCTCCACTTAAATACAGCACCAAAATATAAGCTCATTTTTTCCCAAGCTTATCTGTCAATACTACAATTACTTCTAGCCAGTTTCCCTTCCTCATATCTTGCATCCATCAGCAGACTAATCATTAAATTGTTTCATTGCATCACTCAACATCTCTAATCTAAAACTAACTAGTGACTTTTGGGACTGTGACTTTTCTAAAGTCACTTTATAATATAAAGTCACCATAATCTTTCCCTATCATTGTATTTATTACTCTCAGATACAAATGCTTTTCTTAGTAAGGACAATCACTTTACATTTTCCCTGTAATCTTCACACCATCAAAATCATCTCCATAATTTTCTTTTTATTGAAAAACACATAACTCCTATGAAAGTACTGGTAATTCCATGACCACTTTACAAGACACCCAGTGTATGTATTTAGGGGTAGGGAGGGTAGGAGATGGGCAAAGATCAGCCATTTAACACTCACGGAGTGCCAGTGCAACAGTACACTCTTTCTCCATGGAGTAAGGGCTCTGCAGGACAACTTAAGGTAACCTTTTCTTTGGGAGCCTGTTCTCAAAAAAGGAACCACTTTCCACCTTATTTCTGGGTAAATGGAAATGGGATTAGGAAAACAAAATTCTAGTCGGAATTAAAAATGTGTCTTTAACTCTGCCCCCCTCCCCCCATCTCCCTTTCTTTTACCATTTTCCCAGCTCTTAGCGTTACCATTTCTCTGTATCCAATTTCAGGCAACTAGGTGGCACAATAGATAGCGTGCTGGTCCTGGAGTCAGAAAAACCCAAGTCTAAATCTGGCCCGAGACATTTACTACTTGTATGTGATACTGGGCAAGTCACTTATCCCTGTCTGCCTCTGTTCTTCATCAGTAAAATGAGCTGGAAAAAGAAATGGCAAACCACTCCAGTATCTTTAACAAGAAAACCCCAAATGTGAGGTCACAAAGAGTCGGACACAACTGAACAACAAGTTCTAACTACACCATCCTATCCACATCTCCGCACCCAGGAAGTTGCCAATGCATCAAAATTACTTTTTCAGTGTTACGGTTTTTTTTTTTAATTTTTTGCTAGGTAATAGAGTTAAATGACTTGCCCAAGGTCACACAGCTAGTGAGTGTTATGTGTCTGAGGTTGGATTTGAACTCAGGTCCTCCTAACAATAGGGCTGGTGCTCTATCCACTGTACCACCTAGCTGCCCTGACCTTTTTATTGTTAATGATAACCATACTACTTCACACTAAAAGTGGGATTGATAGCTACAACTCACTCTCCCAGGCACATTTGTTTAAAAGATTACTTCCAATAGGCAGAACAAAATTTTCACTTCATTAGCAAACAATATATGACAGAGTGAGAGAGAGAGAGAGAGAGAGAGAGAGAGAGAGTGTGTGTGTGTGTGTGTGTGTATGAAATTGCTTCTTGACTTAAGTTCTTCAACTATACTATGAAGTTCTTGAAAACAGGGATATCTAATGTTTTTTAATTCCACAGGCAGCCAAATATGTAATTAATCATCGACAGAAACGCCTCATGGTATAGGAGGAAAACACTGGACTGGTTATCAGAAGACAGAAGTCTTGTTTTGCCGCTTTTTTCACTAGGTCACCTTGGACAAGTCACCTAATATGCCTCCAAACCTCAGCCCACTTTTTTCATTTATACAACAGGAATTTGTGCACTACTTACTGACTCTAGTGTGGTAGGAATCAAGTAAAATACTGTCCATAAGGTGTTTTATTACCATAAAGTGTTATTTTAAAATTATTACAAAGAATACAACATAAATTTCACAATTCTAAGTATTAAGATCTTAGTTTTACACTTTGTTTTGGATGAATTTCGTGCCCAAAAATCTTTTACATATCGCATTTATAATAAAAAGAATACCAACAGTTATATATTTTCCTCAACTACTTTAAATTATGGTGCTTAACTCATTCCAAGACTTTTAAAAATAGAATGTTGACCCAGTTAAGAATAAACCCTGGAAGTGCAAAAATCCCTAAGAGTTACTTGTTTAAATATTTTATTTCAGAATTGTATGTACCTGCAAAAAAAATCAGAATTAATCTAAATGTTTAACAATAGGAATGTGGTTAAATAACTTGTGCTATCATAATAGAGTACTAAAATGTAATTAAAACAGACAAGTATGAGAAATACAAGGAAA